AACATCACCTTCCAGCCTTTAATTCCACTCTCAACATAAGATAGGACCCAAAGGAAATGTTTACTTACCTTCTCTTTTAGATAGGGTCTCAAATAGCCAGGTTGACTTCTAACTCACTACTGTACAGCCAAGGCTGGCCTTGAACTCTAGATTCCCCTGTCTCCACTCACAAGTGTTGAGCTTACCTGTGAGCACCTCTCTCGGGCATGTTTTGTAAGAATCTATTCCCACACTTAACCTCCGGAAACGTTGAACTCTCAACCAAGAGGAAGAGAAACTACTTCTGGTTTTACCTCCTTACCAGGGGGATTATTAGAATTCATAATACTGTTGTTTTTTTTTTTTTAAATTAGAAACACAATCACTATGGATTAAAGGTATTTTTTTACACTAAAGTGTAAAACAAAACAAAACAAAACAGAAAACATGCCAGGGTCAGCTGGGATATCCTTCCTCGTCTCAGCATGCTGGTTTAGAAAGGACTCTTCTTGGGGGTTCCCATGGAAGGGTGTGTGCATCATGTCTACACTCCCCTGACACCGAATCTCAGGTCCTTTGGAGTCCAGGCTCCAGCTGAATGGTATATTAAATCCTGTACTTGGCTAGATAGACCTGTGTGGCCTCTGTCCCTGTCACTCCACAAACCTGGGTCCCAGAAGGTGAAACTTTACTCAGTCTTTTGTTCTATGGGCTTTTGGTTTGTTTTTCATTTTCTTCTTTCTTTCTTTCATTTTCTTTTTCTTTCTTTCTTTCTTTTTTTCTTTCTTTCTTTCTTTCTTTCTTTCTTTCTTTCTTGTTTTCTTTCTTTTTTCACTCATTCATTTTATTCTTTCATCCTTCCTTCTTTCCTTTCTCCTCCTCCTCCTCCTCCTCCTCCTCCTCCTCCTCCTCCTCCTCTTCTTCATCTTCTTCTTCTTCTTTTCCTTCTTCTTTTTCTTTTTTAAATAAAACACAATCTTGCCCAGGCCGGCCTCAAACTCATGATCTTCCTGCCTCAGCTTCTTGGGGGCAGGTCTACAAGCTTATGGCCACATGCTCAGGCTAGGGTTCCCCTTTTCAGGTACTTTTTTTTTTTTTAGTCCCTTGTGGTTTTCTCTTGAAGCTTTAGTCAACATTGACTGTGTGCCCAGTTGGGGTAGGTTAGCAGTTTGCCACACAGCTGAAGTAGAAGCCCATTACTTTTACAGTCATAAGATATGCTATGTTGACTGCAGATGGCACTCTAGTTCCCATCTACCTGATGTCCTCTGTGTGTACTGCATAAACTCTCCTCTCCAAAGAGAATCTATATGCAAATTTCAATGACTTTACATTATCACTCTCTCTGCGAAGTCACTTCCTTACAGTGGAGCTCTGTGACTGTCAATTTCCCACAAATGCTTGGTATAAAGTGGGCAGAAATAGATGAGATGGCATGTCTGGCCCAGGATGATCAGAATCTGACCAGTCGGGCCATTCCTGCAGCTTGCCCGAGCACGCAGTCAGGGCTCGGGAGATGTCTCAGTGGGTACAGTACTTCCTCTGGAAGCACAAGGACCCATGCTTGATCTCTCAGAACGCTCACAAAAAGCCAGACACTGCGGAGGGAAGGCAGGAGGACCTCTGGGCTTGCTGGCTGGTCGGCCTAGCTTAATTGAGGAGCTACAGTCTCAGGTCCCATTGAGAGACCGTACTTCAAAACAGAAGGTGGGGAGAGGGCTGGAGCGATGGCTCAGTGGGCAAAGCCCTTGCTGTGTAAGCATGAGGATTTGAGTTCAACGCCCCCCCCCCCCCCCCTCCCGAGCCCACAGAATTGCTAGGTTCAGTGGTCCGCGCCTGTAATCCCAGTGTAACCCCAGAGCTGGAATCCTGGTGCTTTTTATAGTGAAATGAGTGGCAGAGACAGGAGACTCTCCGGAGGCTCTCCTGGCCTGGCACATGTAGTGGTTAAAAAAGAAATGAAAGAAAGAGACACCACTCTCCTCTGATCCCACATGGACATTAGTACCGAAATGGTCTCTCTCTGTCTCTCTGTCTCTCTGTCTCTGTCTGTCTCTCTCTCACATACACACAGTAAGAGAGAGAGAGACAGAGAGACAGAGACACAGAGATGCAGAGAGAGAGAGACAGAGACACAGAGACACAGAGAGAGAGAGAGACAGAGAGAGGGAATTAAAAGTTCCTAAGCAGGGCTGTCAAAATCACTCAGTGGGGAAGGGTGCTTAAGAGCATACCTGGTAACCTGCGTTCAGCTCCTAGAGCCCACATGGTGGAAGGAAAGACGTGAGTGTAGCAAGCTGTCCTCTGACCTCCACACAAGAGCCATAGTGTGTATGTGTGTGTGTGTGTGTGTGTGTGTGTGTGTGTGTGCACGAAACCCTCATTACACAAAATGAATAAATGCAAAAAACCAACCAACCAACAAAAACAACAAAACCAAACCATCTCAAGCAAGTCTTGCTGGGACCCACAGTGCCATTAGCCATAGAGACACAGGCACTCTTCTCGACACTGGCTGCTAGGACAACCCGGGCTGTCCACTGTCCCAGTCTGCAGTGATGGAGGAGAGAAGGCAGAGGAAGAAGCAAGGGGATGGGGTCCAGTATGGCATAAGCTTTTGGAAAGCAAAGCAGAACCAAAAACAACTGGCAAGTCCTTCCATGGGACTTTGGCTTGGCTCAAAACTTCATAAGCTTTCTCCGCAGACTGGCAGGGCCTGAGTTTCCACACTTGGAGCTGCATTTCTTCAGCTTATGATTTCCTGAAGCCTCTTAAAATGGAAATGAATGGCTGCTGACCTTGGGAAGTGAAGGGGCCACGGCAATGGGAGGCCAGACCACAGGGAAGCCAGCACGGTTTGGCCAGCTGTCCAAAGGCAGGAATGTGGATCTTGTGATGTTCTCAAAAGGCAGCAATAAGCATTTTAATGAGAACCATCATGATTTTTTAAAGTGTTAGTAAACAATACCACATTAGGAAAAAATGGACAGAAAAAGCCGAGCAGGTGCTGTCCGTGGCTGCCACCATGTGTGACTGCAATGGCCTCCACCACACAGCAGACATCCCTGTGAATGGATTCATCTCAGCTCCTGGGACAGGAGAGAGAAAGGGAGGGAACGGTAGAGAGGAGCGTGGGTTTGTTTGAAGATGGAGGGATGGTGTGGGGAGGGACCTTGAACCTGTGAGCAGTGGACCAGACCAGGGGCATGCTGTCTCATCAGGTGATGGGTGGGGGTGGGGGGACAACAATGGGAGCAACCTCCTGTCCCAGGTTGTCACTCATCCTAAATGTGGCTCTTGTGCTTTCCATGCGGAGTTCATGAGAATGTGGAGAAGTCACATGAGAAAGGCCATGGAATTCACTGAAAGACAAGCAGGCCCAGAACATGCGTCGCAAGTGACCAATGGCAGCCATACACAGGCCATTCTGTTCTAGTCATGGATATGATGGCTCTCCTGAGGTGCCCCCGGGCTCAGCAGTCCCCAGTCTTGTTACAGCCCCTCCGGCTCTCCCTCCCTCCCTTCTTCCTTTAAGAAAGGAACTTGAAGTTCTTGTGTGTGTGTGTGTGTGTGTGTGTGTGTGTGTGTGTGTGTGTGTGTGCACCTGGGTGTCTCTATATACACCTATCATGCAGGTGTCTGTGAAGTCCAAAAGAGGGTGTTGGATTCCCTGACACTAGTTAGAGGCCATTGTGAGCCACCTGATGTGAGTTTTGGGAGTCCAACACTGTCCCCTGCAAGAGCATAGGCACTCTTAACTGCTGACCAGTCCCCTCCTCCTTTTTTAAAAACAGGGTCCCAGGTAGCCCACGTTGGCCTCAAACTCACTATGAAGCCAAGGTTGACCTTGAACTCCTGATCCTCCTGCCTCTACTTCCTGAGTGCTGGAGTCATAGACAGTCACCATCATGTGCTCTGCAGGGAGAATAACCTAAGATAGATATACTTTCAGTTTTAAATGAATGAGTTTATTATGCATGTCGCAAAGAAAAGTCAAAGAACAAATAGCAAGCAACAGGTAGATGGAAAAACACCCAGCCAGCGGCTCATGACATCCGGCAGAGAGGGCAGAGGAAGCCCTGCCCAAAGCTCCATGCTGGAGGCTGAGACTGGGAGAGTTCCAGGCAGGACACTGCACTCTCCATCCTCTTCCAGCGTCTGGTTCCCGTTGCCAGCATTCTTATGCCATGGGGCAAACAACAGTGACCTCCTTCAGTCTCTCTCAGGGATGCAGTGCGTTTCCATGTCTTTATTTTCCATTTCCCTATGTATGTGGTATACATGTGTGAGCATGTTTGCACATGTGTGGGTGCATGTGTGTGGAGGCACTAGATTGACGTCCTGAATCATTCTAGATGGGCTCTTCCGTAGTATACATGGAGGCAGGGTCACTCAGTCAAACCCAGAGCTTACTGATATGGCTACTCCTATGGACAGCTTGCTTTGAGATCACCATCCCCGCCCCCCCCCCCCCCCACCTCCAGGCTGGAATGATAGGCAACTGTGATGATTACCCAGAATTCACCTGGGATCTGGGAATGAGAACTTGGGTTTTCTAACTCTTTAACCACTACCATTTTCCCAAGCCCCAAGCTGTGCACTGTTTTTTACACTCTTACCTGTCTGCCATTCTCCTTTCTATCGGACTAGGGACCATATCTCCTTTCTCTCGGAAACAGACTTAGGGACCAGCATGATCCAGGACAAGAAGTCGTGGAATGTACTTGACAAAAAGATACTGGAGTCTTGGAGAAGGGAGCCATCCTTGCTCCCAGAGTCCACTTTCAATGAGCTTACACAGCACACAATGATTTCCCAATATAATGTAAATTACTCCCCATCTAGCTTTTCCTATCTTAAAAATATTTGACAACATGTCATATTGGCTTATTTTGATGGCACCTGTTCTCAGCTCTGAGCATGGTATCTGGGGCATTGCAGGAAGCTGCTTATGTCTGCGTGAGGCAGGCTCAGGTTTGCCACCTGATAAATGCCTGAGCATCCTTCTGACTTCCCTAAAGGACAGCACCTCCGACCTCAGGCAAAAGTGATGGAGAGTCGCTGAGGGTGCACCCAAAGCTTCCATCAAGCGCTGGAGAGGACCGTGCCACCCTGCTGGGCATTGCCATGATGGCTTCCTCTGTGCTGATGTTCTTCCTGTTGGGGACCACCGTGCTGAAGCCTTTCATGCTCAGGTGAGACACAGGCAAGACCCAGAGCTCCCAGATGGGGCCAGCCCAGCACTGGAGTCCATTCTCCTGAGCACACCCTGGGGCTTGCCTGTCCAAGCTGGAGACAGTGGAGGGTGGAGGAGGTATGAAATATTCCTTAGCTGCTCCACATTGACAGTCCACACATGTTTCTGCACACGGTCTCATTGCCAGTTGAGACCGTTTCTGCACATGGTTGGTGGCACAAAAGCATCCCGCTAGGAGATGCCAGCCCAGCTTTCTTTCTGGTATCACCACCAGGAGAAACCCCTTTCTGCTCCTGCTCAGCCAGGTAACTCACTGGAATCTCACATCTGTTTGCTCCCTAACTACAGTGGCTGCTAGGATGCTCAGAGCCCAGTTCATTCTTGTAACCATAAGGGATTGTGTGACCTTCGAGTCAGACATTTGTAGCTCTTCCTCAGAGTTCCTTCTAGCTTTCTCTCCTTTTGCTGTTAGCCAGTTTCCCTCACCTTACACACACACACACACACACACACACACACACACACACACACACACACACACACACACACACACGACTGCATGGCACATGTCTATGTGAGCTGAAGAAATGGATGTTCACATACACATCTGCGTATATGGGCAGATTCAGAGAGAGGGAGAGAGGAAGATGGGGGAGGGAAGGGAAGAGGGGGAGAGAGGAGAGAGAGAGAGAGAGAGAGAGAGAGAGAGAGAGAGAGAGAGAGAGAACCAGCTAGCCACACTAAGAAACAACTTTGAGCTGGGCGGTGGTGGCGCACGCCTTTAATCCCAGCACTCGGGGGGGCAGAGAAAGGCGGATCTCTGTGAGTTCGAGGTCAGCCTGGGCTACAGAGTGAGTTCCAGGACAGGCTTCAAAGCTACACAGAGAAACCCTGTCTCAAAAAACCAAAAAAAAAAAAAAGAAAAAAAAAAAAAAGAAAGAAAGAAAGAAACAACTTTGAGGAATCAGTTCTCACCCTCAACCATATGGGTCCAAGGGATTAGACTCACATTTCAGGGTTGCAGGCAGGTGCCTTTCCCCTCTGAGCCATTTTGAGAGCCTCAGAAGTTTAGACTTTTGTTTTGAATCATGTATGTGTGTGTGTTGGTGTGTGCCCTTGGAGGCCAGAGGTGCCAGGTCTCCTGTAGCTGGAGTTGGGGGGGGGGGGGTGTTTGAGCTGACCGATGAGTTCTGGGACTCAAACATGAGTCTTCTGCAAGAGGAGTATATGATCTTAATGATTGCTTGTTTAAACACTTGATGTATCAGGGAGATGGTGGTAGGAGATCTGCTGTAAGCTGAGGCCAATCTGTGACTCATATTTGTTTTACTTTCTAAGTATTTCTGGAAATTGCTTAATGGGAGCTGTGAGGACATTGCCTGAGCAACCAGTGGTCATTTCTGCCTCACCTTATTCTTCAGCATCTGAGGGATAGGTCCCTTAACGACAACAGTTCAGATTTCTAGGGTGACTCACACCTTTCTCTCCACCCCGAATCTTCTAGTCAAAGGGACAGAGAATTGCAGATCAAGTCAGCAAAACCCCAGCACAAATGGGAGACCCTTGAGAAGTCCCACCCGTAGCAGAGGAGCTATTGCGACTGATGACTGATGCAGGAGGGAGTCAGTTTCTTCCGGGATTCCACCCCCGAGAGGTTAGCCATGCGCCACTAGATGGTCCCACACTCTGTGCATACAGATGAGTGGCCTCTGTGGGTTAAACCAGCAAACACATGAAGCTGGGAGAGAAAAGGGGTGGGGGGATGGGAAGAGCAAAGGGTGTTGGCTTTGATTCAACACATCATGTGAATGGATGAAATTCTCAGACAGTAAAAAGAGGGATGCATGGCAAAGGGACACAGAGCTACTGAAGTAACAACATCATTTTCAAGCTCTAAATAAACTTCACTGTACCTCAAGGGTTCTGGCTTGGCCCTTGTGCCTAGGGTATCACTCTCTATTGCAACTCTCTGAGGTCCCTGAGAGATAGCCAGACCACAGTTAGCACTTGGGAATCAGGGAACTTACATTCCAACAGATACACAGACAGCTCGAAAGCAGTACCTCAGGATGCCGAGTTTAAGTAGATAAGTGGGAAAGCAGGCCAGAACTAAAGCTCAGAAAGAACTTTTGTTTTCAGATTTAAAATGTGCTTATTAGTGTGTGTGCACGTGTGCACCACACTCCTGCAGATAGTGTGTGTGTGTGTGTGTGTGTGCATGTGTGTACACAGCACACTCCTGTCGGAAGGCCACTGTGAGGAGTTAGTTCGACCACGTGGGGGCTGCGACTGCAATGAGGTGTTAGGCTTCAGGTGGCAAACACCTTTACTGTCTCACTGGCACAAGTAAGTACTTTTTCATCTCTGTAATTTTGCACTTGTTTAACACTTTTCTTAGGCTACTTCTAAGTGTTTTTCTTCAGGTCTGCAGTCACTTTGACATGCCCAGAGCATCTGTACCGTTCTCTATCACTGCTGTCGTGGGGCACTGGGAACTTGGCCTAACAGTTGGCAGCTCCCGCCTCCCGAGTCCAGGGATCTGACCTAGCTTTCCTATCGCTATCCGCTGGACTGAATGCTTTTCTAGGTGCTTGAAAGGATCTAGAGACTGCCCGTACTACTTGGCTTGTGTGGTCTGAGGTCCTCCGCCTCCTAGCCTGCCTCCTGTTATCCACCCCAACATTTTGCCGTGGCCTCTGCTGGCACACACATCCATCTCCATGCCTTCCACTCGTGCTAGAGGAACACAATTGTTTGTGGCTGACACTGAGAGTGTAGGGGAAAAAAGCTGGCTCGACACAGGGCTTTTCAACTGCTTTAAAAGTAAGTGGGAACAAAAGGGACCTGCCCACTTTGCCTTGTGTAGGAGGGCTCGAGGGGAGCAGAGTCCACAGATAGTCTGTTAGCCACTTTTCTCATGTTGTGACCGAACACCTGATGAGAAACAATTCACGAAAGTGTCTATTTTGGCTCCCACTTTGAGCGCACAAGCCAGCATGGTGGGGTGGCAGAGACGACAGGAGCGATGAGTTAGTCTTTCTCTTTTCATTCAGTCCAGGATCCCGGCCCACTGGACAGGATCTCTGTTAGGGTGGGTCTTCCCTCTCAATCCAATCTAGAAACTTCCTACAGACATGGCTGGAGTCTTGTCTCCTAGGTGTCCATATGTTCTAGTTTTCTTTCCATTGCTATGATAAACGTCATGACCAAAAGCAACCTAGGGGAGGAAAGAGTTTATTTGGATTATACTTCCAGGTTGGAGTCTATTATTGAGGAAAGTCAGGGCAGGAACTGAAGACAGGAACCATGAAGGGAATGCTGCTTGCCCGCTTGTTCTCTGGCTCACTTGTTTATTATGCTCAGCTAGTTCTATTTAAAAAGTCCAGACCGATCTGCCTAGGGATGGTGTTCCCCGCAGTGGGCTGGGTTCTCCAACATTAATCATCAGTCAGGACAACTTTTCACACCTAATGCTGCCATGCCCCTCTCCTCCCATGGAAGACTCATCCCATAAGCCAAAATAAACTATCTTCCCTGAGTTGCCTTTGGTCATGGAGTTTTATCATAGCAACAGAGGGGTAACGAGTACAGTACTCAAGATATTATGTGTACATGACACAGGGCAAGCTCTTAGTAGTGTTTCCCAAGAAAATGTAATGAGGTCCAATGTGATGGAGCTTGTAGCATGTGCCATCATGACACACTCCCTGGAGCATAAAGATGAACAGGATGTAGCTTGGCACCCTAAGGAATTCAAAGGCACAAAGTCAGCCTGTCTCCCAGTGGAGATCTCAACACACTTGCTTCTACCTCTGGAAGCGGAGCAGGATGTAGAATTAGCCTCACTACCAGAACCCCTCCCAAAGGCCCACTTCACCAGGAAGCTGGTAGATACGTCAAAAAAAATATGACATGAGGGATGGTGGGTTGTCCAAGTGTGACTCTTGGTGACTCAGTATTTAGGGTAATTGTAGCTGAAAGTTTTCCTGTGTCTCTCCCACTCACTTCCCCCAAGTAAACACACAGAGGTTTATATTAATTATAACTGTATGGCCATGGCTCAAGCCTTTTGCTAGCTAGCTCTTATATCTTAAATTAGCCCATAATTATTAATCTATGTATCGCCACATGTTCTGTGGATTTATCTGCATCCCATTACATATTGCTCCTTGGGTAGCTCGCTGGTGTCTCCCTCCTGCCTTCTTCCTGTCTCTCTCTTTGAATGTCCTGCCTGCCTCTAAGCTGCCTTGCCATAGATCAAATGGCTTTATTTATCAACCAATCAGAGAACACATTTTCACAGTGAACAGAAAGACATTCCCCCATCATTTCCCTTTTCTGTCTAAACAAAAAGGTTTTAATGTTAACCTGTTAAAATTACATATAACAAAACAGTTATCAAGCAAGAATTACAGTTACAATATCTAGTCTATTTGTATTTTGTAAAATTAAAGAAAATATTCTATCTATCCTATATTTGTGAGTCTATGGTTTCATATCTACCTTATCTCTTATCATAACAAAGGAAAATTATAATTATCTGGTCTTTAACTATATCAAAGACCTCAGAAGGATAATAATACCTAAGTAAACAGGAAGAGCATTGTAAGCAACTTCCAAAAATCTAGAATGACAGAGACAGCTGCTTGCCTGGGCAGTCATCCAAAGTTCCTTTGTAATGTTTGGGCATCCATCTTTAGTCCATAGGTCTAGTCTCTCAGTAATTTTTTTTCTGCATCCTGTAGAATGTCTTCTGCAAAGCAGGAACCTGAAGGACCAGCTGGACTTGCAAAGTTCAGTGGTCACCTTCCCATGGTTCGTGCATATCCAGTCAACACAACATTTTGTCAAGTAGTCTAGGCAAGAACAGTTTCTTGCCCAAATGGCTGTCTTTGCCAAGAAGAAGATAACTCTATATGGAGTGTCTTCAATGCCCATCTTTTTCTTTGAAGTAAATTGGTGCTTCCAGCAACAGACTTGTCTCATTATCCAGGAAAGTCTAAGTTTTTAAAACATTTTAAATGCCATATTCTGTAGGTCTTTGAAGTGTTTGAAGATTACCTGCCTAACTGAATTATATCTATGTATACCTAGAAAACTTAACATGACTATAAGTTTGACTATCATAGAAGATTAATTATTAATATGTATTTCTTAATCATCCATTACAATTTTAAATAAGTTACATAAACATAATACCTTAAATGAGAGTAGAAATATATATATACATACATACATATATATAGTATAACAAAATTAACTTTAAATTTGTATCAATAAAGTAAAATTCACAGCAATGTAAAACATTTCAAACAAGTTGTTGATTTTTAAAAATAGATTCAATAATCTACCCTTTCATCCTATCATATCTATACTATCCCCTTTTCTTCTTTAGAAAGAGATTGCTTTTATAATCAACCCCCTTTAAATAAAAATAAACATTTATAAACAATATTTTGGGAATTTGGGCATAGCTTTTTATACTACTAACTGCTGATTGTGGGCACTGGTAATCTTATGGGGATCCTGAGAAAATTAAGAATTATGGGCAAGTCCTGACTGGAATAGTCTGTGATGCTGTAGTTTCTGAGCCAGTTGCTTTGAAGCTGTTTTGGATGTTGGATCATCTGGAGACCTCTCAGGGGGCCTTCCTTGATCAAACCATATGAGCCTGGAAGCAATCCACAGGTTCTCATCTTCTGTGGAAACAAAAGCAGAACCTCTTTTCCAAAGCAACATATCCTTAGACATAAATTTTGAAATAAAGATAACTTTAAAATATACATATTGATTTAACTCATCAGCTTTTACAATCAAATGTTTCTTTGCAGTTAAAAATCCCAAAGACAATATAATCCAGACTCCTTGTGTAATATCCATCTTTATGTGGCTTATTTTTTATATTACCTTTATTGTCTCTTTAAAGACTTTATTTTTTAAAACTATTTTTTATATAACTCTCATTTATTTTTTTTCTCTTCTAAGCCTACATACATTTGTACACACACTGTAAACCACTGAAAGTCTTATTCCATCTGAATCTGCCTTAATTGTGAATCTATTGCTTTACACTGCAGTGGTTAGTACTGAAGCAGCAGCCTTGGCTGCTGACTCCGTCCATCTCAGCTTTTCAACATGGCGGAGATAATTCACTGCCAGCTCTGGGAGCCATGCTGTCTGCTTACTGGGAGGCAGTGGGTCTATGCTTCTATCAAAGCAGCGTGTAGCCCAGAAACTTTTTTTTTTTGGTCTGTATTAGCAAAGGCTAAATCCCCCACACAGCATAATGTGTGGCTTGGAGATGTCTCTGTGTACTGAGGTGGGAATCCACCATACTGCAGGTCAAGAGTAGCTCAAGGCCGCAGGCTGCAGCTGGCCTGAGAGAGACAACTAGGAAGCTGTTTTTAGCTCCGTTTTAGAATCTTTTTTTTTTTTTTTAAAGCTTTTTCAGGTTTTAGGTGGAAACTCTTGCCCACATTGGGCGCCATTTGTAGCTGAAAGTTTTCCTATGTCTCTCCCACTCACATCCCCCAAGTAAACACAGAGAGGCTTATATTAATTATAACTATATGGCCATGACTCAAGCCTTTTGCTAGCTAGCTCTTATATCTTAAATTAGCCCATAACTATTAATCTACATATTGCCACATATTCTGTGGCTTTAGCTACATCCCATTACATGTTGTTCCTTGGGCAGCTCACTGGTGCCTTCTTCCTGTCTCTCTCTTTGAATTCCCTGCCTGCCTCTAAGCTGCCTTGCCTAGGACAAATGGCTTTATTTATCAACCAATCAGAGCAACACATATTCACAGTATACAGAAAGACATCCCCCCATCAGGTAATGGTACTTAGTTAATTTCTCCTAGTACTTGCAATTTTGGGGGGTAGGGGAAGTCAAGATAAGGTTTCACTGTGTAGCCCTGGCTGTCCGGGAACTCACTCTGTAGACCAGGCTGGCCTTGAACTCAAAGAGATCTGCCTGCCTCTGCCTCCCAGATACTGGGATTAAAGGCATGCATCACCACCGCCCAGCTAATATAAGAGAGTCTCAGGCTTCAGTTCAGATCTCATGAGCTAGAGTCTCTGGGAGGGATCACCTGGAATCCACACTGGGCACTTTTGATGCTAATGAGTGAACTCATTCAGGTGAATCTAAAGTCTGACAGTATTGTGTTAGGGCTAGTGGAGGGGAAATGCTCCCCATGGATCAGAACTGAGGCACTTGCCACCTGGCTTTTTTCCCATCTGTGTCCTTCACACTCTCTGATCAAGATGTGATGTTTTTGCTGGTGTCTGGGGTGGACCACCACCCCAGCTGTGTCTTAGAAGGCAGAACTTGACTTTCCAGTAGGTGCTTTCAATCCTTACATCCTTACTTAGGAAGAACACTTTTTTTTATTTCACAGCTCTAACAGAGAAGAATCAAACTGCACCACCATCCACACACACATTGCAGATGATTGGCTGAACTTCGCCTTCACCTGTGAGGGCAGCTGCCAGGACCAGGGCGGGTATCCCTGTCTGCAGGTGTTCGTAAACCTCACCCACTCAGGCCAGAAAGTGCTTCTCCACTACGATGAGGAGGCAGTCAGAACCAACCCCAAGGTAACATGGATTTGCTATCTAAGAGCTCCCTCTGCTGCCCTGTCATAATGCTATCCTGAGTGGGGCACAAGCCATCTGTGGAAAGCCAGTTTCCTTCTAGTGTACGTTTTCCTTTTTGGAGGGTGTGTGTGTCATGTAGCCCAGGATGTTCCCAAACTTGCTATGTAGCCAAGGATGACCATGCAATTAGAATCATCTAGCTCTACCTCCCAAGTACTGGGATTACCACGCCTTGTTATAAGTGACTGAGGATCGAACCAGGGATTTGCGTATGCTAGGCAAGGACTCTACCAACTGGATATGTTCAAAGTATTCCATCAGGATAAATGGAGCTGGCAGCAGTCTTGGAAGAGAAATGGGCATGCAGAAAGGAGAGGTATATTCCAGTTTCCTGGCTCAGTGTGAAGTCCTAAGTGGGCAGTGTCTCCCCACTGTAGTCGTGGTTAGAATGAACGAATGCAGTCTTCCTTCAGTCAAGTTGGTAATTCTTTTTTTTTTGGGGGGGGGTAGGGTTCAGACAGGGTTTCTCTTGGTAGTCCTGATTATCTTGGAACTCACTCTGTAGTTCAGGCTGGCCTCAAACTCACAGAGATCCACCTGCCTTTGCCTCCCAAGTTCTGGGATTAAAGGTATGTGCCACTACCACCTGGCAGTAATTCTTAAGACATTTAAAGAACTTATAAATAAATTACACACTGGTTCATGTGACACTTAACTATGTTCATAGTTAACTATAGTTCATAGTTATACTTAACTATGACGGTCTTATTAGATGATATGCTATAACAGTGTTGTGGGTGATTAAACACTTAATCTAATGATTTCTGGTTTTCTATATTGGATGCAGTAATTTTTAAAGTCACACATTGAAAAGCATGTGTGTGTGTGTGTGTGTGTGTGTGTGTGTGTGTGTGTGTGTGTGTGTAGGCACTCGTGCCATGGTGTGTGGAGGTGTGAGGAAAACTCACAGGCATCAGTTCTCTCCTTCCACCGTGTGATCCTGGGGCTAGAACTCAGGTGGTCAGGCTTGGCAGCAAGCACCTTTGCTCCATGTCTCACAGTCCTGTAGTCCCCTCAGCATGGGAGCCCAATATCTAAGAGACACAGTCATCTCATTCTAAGCCCTATTGCCAACCCTTTCCTTCCCTCCACACTATGCAAGATGACCATGTTAAATACCATGACCCTCACCATAACATTCGCCTGGAGCCCTTGGTGCTGGCCACTGTTGACAGTGCGCTTTTCCTCCTCCGATCTCCAGTGCTTTTATACACCCAAGTGTCACCAAGACAGGGGTGATCTGCTTAACACTGCCCGGGACATCAAGGAATTCTTCGATCACAGAAATGGAACTTTCACTTGCTTCTACAGTCCCGATGGCCAGCTGGGAGTCGTCCTGAGGAAGTCTGGCCACAAGGTTGTCTTTCATTGCTTGTTTTGGCCTTTGTTGACTTTGCTGGGTGGGGCCCTGATTGTTGGCTTGGTGAGGTTGACACAGCATTTATCTCTTCAGTGTGAACAGTACAGCATGGTGGTGAGAGTTCAGGCAGGAGGCAGAGCACATTCTGTGGGCAGGCACAGGTCTTCACTGTGCAGTGTGACGAAGAGCCAGGGAAGGAGCAGAGAGCTGAAGAGGCGGCCGCACCTCTCCCATCCCGAGATGCTCCAGCTGACGACTTGAACACTGCCAGGCATGGCGGAGCATTGTGATCCCAGCACTTGGGAGGCTGAGGCAGGAGGATCACATTCAAAGCCAGCTTGGGCTATATACAGATCTTGTCTAAGAACATAGCTGCGGTTATAGCTTCCAGATAGGGCACCTGCCTAGCACACACAAGGTTCTGGATTTGATCCCCAGCACTAAACCAGTGATATCTGCTTGCAAACGTGCTGTGTACAGGGCAAAGGCAGGCATCACAGCTTTCCACAGGGGAACCATTCTTCAAATGTTGGCTGTTTTCTATTTATTCTAAAAACATGTACAGTTTCAACAGTCTTTCTTTTCCCAGTCTCCTCAGATAAGCCAAGGGAGCACCTTTCTCCTTGTAGGTAAAATTAATTCAAGGCACTCCTCTACATAACTTCATTTCTCCATGGAACATGTTGGCACAAAACAAGCCATTCCTGAGTCTGTCTGTCGAGCAGTCAGCTGCCAGCATGTGCAGTTCATATGTTTCTCACAGAAAAAGGCAGTGGGAGCTGGGGTGATGGCTCGGTTGGTAAAATGAGAACCTGAGATTGGTTTCTCAGACACATACAAAACAAAAATAAGCAAGCAAACAAAACAACAAAGACAAAGCAGGCCTGTTGGCCTGGACCTGGAACCCCAACCGGGGACAGCCAGAATAGCAAATCTGTGACCTCCAGGTCAATGAGAGACCCTGTCTCAAACATGGACAGCGACTGGGGACCACCACCTGAAGTTGCTCTGGTCTGCACACACCGACACATGCGTGCAGGCGTGTAGACAACGCACATAAACATACTCATAGCTAGCAGTTCATTTACTCCAAGTAGATCAAAACTGCCAACAACGGAAGAAAACCCAGGTCTGCCACATTTATTGTAGTTTGTTCTTCCCTTACCCTCCATTCCAAGAGGAAAGCTGCTGCCTAGAAAATCCACCTGACACTTATTTGTATGTGACCTTGTCACACAGCTGCTCTTTTTACTTTGTGGCATTTTCTAGTTATTATCCTTCCCCTAAGCTCCTTTCAGTCTCTGCACACTGTGGGAACAGGAGAAACAAATACAAGTGTGAGCTAAGCTGTACCTGAGTCCAACACCCACATCAAATAATGCATGCTGGAGAATGGTTCACTTGGACAGTCGGTGTTCTGTAACAGAATCAGCCAGAGGGCTGGAGATGGCTCAGCGCTTAAGAATGCTTGCTTCTGCCGGGCGGTGGTGGCACACACCTTTAATTCCAGCACTCAGAAGGCAGAGACAGGAGAATCTCTGAGTTTGAGGCCAGCCTGGTCCAGGACAGTCATAGCTACACAGAGAATCCCTGTCTAAAAAAAAAAAAAAAAAAAAAATTGCTTCCCAGTACCCACATTGCAGTTCACAACCATCTGTAACTTCAGTTCCAGGACATCCAATGCCCTCTTCTGGCCTTTGCAGTCACTACATGAGGGGCTTACACATACATGCAGGCAAAACACTCACACACAGAAAAGTTAAAAAAAAAAAATGTCAACTGAGTCAACTGCATAAGTGTCCCAAAACTTAAAGCAAGGCCTTCCAGTTTATGATGAACATCTGAGCCTAAGAGCTGGCTGCTTTTCCAAAGCACCTCAACGTGCCTTTACAGATCCACACACAAAAATGAAAATCCTTCATTGGAAACAACAGAATGAGACTTTTCAAACAATTTTTGACATGTTGCTGTAATCAGTCACACAATTCTAAGCCAGTTTAAAGCCTGTTAGTAATTAAATTCAAGTCACAAATTAGCTAAGTGGATAACTCAGTAGAGTGACAGCTATGGAGTCTCCTCACCTTCTCTCTACTGTGGGCCGAGGGGAACATGCTTCAGAACAGGCTTTATTTCCATTCACAGCTTCGCAGGTGTAGGTATTTGGAAATGCCTCTTTTGATGATCTTCAGCCTTAAAGACAGGCGTGTGAACCAGCAGGCTTAGTTTCTGCTCACTTGCAGATGGAGGCACCAGGAGCTGGGACATCCTTTTGCTGAGCTGCAGCGGCCTATTTGGCTGTGTTTGGTGGCAGTAGGGAGCAGGTAAGCTCTGACAGGTGTCCCTCAACTACCCCATCTCTCGTTCCTTGGCTAACTGATGTGCTGTGTAAAGGTTGTGGATTATACTTTGTATACCAAACGTCCCCACAATAAAACACACTATGCATGTCCAAGAAAAACTGTAAATGGAGATTCTGTCATTTTCTCAAATTAAAGATAAATCTCAAACCCATTTCCTAATAAATAAACTTGACTTCCAACTTAACAATATAGTTTTGTGGTTTTCCCTACCATCTCAACACTGAAGCCTCAGGTGTGTGTTTCATCAGTCACAGAGGTTTCCCAAGCAGACACTGACTAGTGGTTCATCCCAGGGAAGACAGACATTAAGTTGGAGAAGAGAGTCAATTTGAAGTTCAAGACTCTTGGCAGTCCAGTAAAATTTAAGCGGTGATGGGCTTTTGTGAAAGCAGGAACATCAATGCTCATGTCTGTTACCAGTCCAAGGCAGCCCGCCTTCTGCACTGTTTATAACGGAGGGCAAAGCAGGTTGCTTCTAAACTGACTTCATGTATAGACTCTAGTTTCCAACAGACATGAGAAAGTATCCCATTTCTACACATATACTCACACCTACTCCTATGTATATAAATAGCAGCATGAAACACAAGCATCTAAATCTTCTTTAGTACTCGAGCCTCTAATTTTTCTTGGTTTTACTCCTGGGAATTGAACCTAAAGCCTTATGCACCATGGCAGGCATGCTCTGCCACTGAGTGATGTGATGAACGCTAACAAACCAGCAGAGGTATGCTAACAACGCTTAATGCTTTAGAGACATCAGCATTCATTTCTCTAGCACTTACTGCTAGGGCAGAAAAAAAAAAAAATTGGTTGAGTTTCCCTTTCTTTTTCTTCTTGACAGGGTTTCTCTGTGTAAGAGTCCTGGCTGTCCTGGAACCTACTTTGTAGACCAGGCTGGTCTTGAACTCATAGAGATCCACCTGCCTCTGCCTCTTGAGTGCTGGGAGTGCCACCATGCCTGGCTTGATTCAGTTTTTCAATCAAGTAATTACATAGAAAACTCAAATCTAACTAGACCCTGTTCATAGCAACACTATTTTGTCATTGAAGAGAAACAGCCAAAGGGATTCTCACAGCTCTTGGCTTACACCACATGCTAAGGACCATTTGGACACAAGGTAAGTTTTCTTTTTTTTAATGAAGAGCGTGATGGTACAGACTGTGCAGTTAGGGACAAGCAGACACTGACAGTGGTGACTAGCAGTGAGTGCAGTCACAGGCTGCACTCCTTGCTGGAAACAGTATGACAGAAGAGGTCTTCGATTGAGTCACGCTGTCGTTGTCCACATTCTAAGCCAGTGGTTCTCAACCTTCCTAATGCTGCGACCCTTTAATACATACAGTTCATGTTGTGGTGCCTCCAACAATAAAATTATTTTGATATTACTTCATAACTATAACTTTGCTACTGTTATGAATCATAATGTAAATATCTGTGTTTTCTGATGGTCTTAGGCAGCCCCTGTGAAAGGGGCATCTGATCCCAAAGAGGTCATGACCCATAGGTTGAGAAGAGCTGCTCTAGCAAACAGCATATGGAGCCTTCCTGTGCTACACACTTCTGGGGCAAGGGTTATAAGAACACTAAGAATGTTTCTTTTTCTTTTTGAGACAGGGTTTCTCTGTGTAGCCCTGGCTGGCCTCAAACTCAGAGAGATCTGCCTGCCTCTGCCTTCCAAGTGCTGGGATGAAAGGCGTGCGCCACCACGGCCCAGCAAGAATGTTTCTAACTAGTCCCTCTTACATGTTCAACTTACTGAATGAACAAAATGGAGAGAAACAATCTGGCTGAAAGTGGAGAGCAAGCTCCTTGCACAAGTGGTGTGCAGTCATCTTTTTGTAGTACTTTATTCCCCAAGGTACTAAAGTATTATGTTTGAAAGCAATGTATTCTTTTAGATTTTATTTAGCCAAGCTAAGTCCAAAGACTGAATTATAATAAAACCATCAACTGCATTTGAAACCTGGATTCCTGGAGCCCTTGGGGGGGAGGGGTATGGCAGGGGGGGTATGGCGGGGGGGGGGGGGGTATGGCAGGGGGAGGGGTATGGCGGGGGGAGGGGTATGGCAGAGGGGGTATGGCAGGGTGGGAGGGGTATGGCACCTGTATTCTCAGCACTATGGAGAGCATCTTGAGTTTGAGGCCAGCCTGGACTACATATACAGTAAGACCCTGTGCCAACAATAAAATGACAAAACCCTAAAAAAGCACCATCACCACAACATCACCATAATCAAAAACATTTCTAGAAATCAGATAAAGCCTCATTTTCCCAGCTATTCTTAGGAACATGCATTAAACCCAACAAAAGGATTTTTTTTTCTTCAAAATCAACGGAAATAACTACGTTTGGAAATTCACACCAAACGTTTTGGAGACCAGGTATCCTAGGATGACTCTGAACTCACTAATTGCAGCTGAGGATGACCTTGAACTTCTGATCTTTCTGCCTCTACCTCCTAGTGCTACAATTATAGGCATGTGTCATCAGACCTTTTATGCGGTGCTGAGGCTCAAACCCAGGATTCCATGCATACTTGCCAGGTTCTCTAACAACTGAGTCACATTCCCATACTTTAGTAGGAAACACTGAAGGTTTTCTGCCTCCTCACTAACCTAGATCGACAAAAACAGTATGTAAAAATATACACCATTCTGTCACAAAATTACTACTGTGAAACAATAGATGAGGCTGTAGAAAGTCCACTTGACTTATGTTTTTTTCTTTCTGTACTTACTAACATGAAGAATGGAGTCTACTGTTAGTAGTGAAAATCAGCCCTAACAATACACTACACAGAGATTCATTTTAATCCTGCCCGCCAGCAAACATTCTGACACCTGAGAAGTGAGAGAATCCTCTTCCAGTGCCCACTGCCTTTGCATGGCCGAGACCATGCCATACCAAAAGTCAAGCAAAGGAAAAGGCACTGCATAAAAAAACGGAGGTGCACAACCTCCACCAAAGGAAGACTCCACACAAACTCACTCCAGATTGCCGCTGCAATCTGGGCGACTTCTAATAGACTCCAATCGCTTCTGAACTTCAGAACCTTCCCATGTGTTTACAGCTTTCCTTAAAGATCCTTGATCCATGCTAACAAAACAGTAAGAGAGTCAACAAGCTAAGGATGCCGGACTCAAGAACTGGCACCACAGGCTGCTGTGACTATACAGCTTTTCCAAACAGCTGAAGCGATGGAATGTTAGCCCCCGACCCCCACAAACTGTAAGGCATGCCAAGTCTGACCTGCACATACAAGACATGCAGGGCTCTGCAGAGTCTGTGTTGTGAGGCCTGAGGCACAGAATGGCAGTTTAGCTACTTTCCTTATGAACCTTTGGAGATGGAGTTACCAGGTTTATCAGGAGCACAATTCTTCTAAGCCAGAGCCCAACATCTTTCCAGAGTAAAAACAATTTTTTTTTTTTTTGTTTTTTTTGTTTTTTGAGACAGGGTTTCTCTGTGTAGCTTTGCACCTTTCCTGGGACTCACTTGGTAGTCCAGGCTGGCCTCGAACTCACAGAGATCCGCCTGGCTCTGCCTCCCGAGTGCTGGGATTAAAGGCGTGCGCCACCACCGCCCGGCATTTTTTTATAAGGAGAAAAAAAAAATAGAGGCCTTCTGGGTCATGACCCAGATCAGTTTAGTTTTAATTACCGAAATGCTTTTCTTTGTTTACGACAGCTCAGCTCTACTGCTCTGCCACTGAGAGTTACTAATTAGAGATGCTGTCAAGAATGAGTTCAGCCTTCAAAACCCCAAACTGGAAGTGATTCCTTTCTAGTATGTTCAATACATCCCTGTGACTCCCAGCCCCTCTGAGTGTCTCCTTCCCAGGCCCTCCTCCATCCCCCTTTCCCCAAACATCTGAAGTAGAAACATCACTATCTACAATGCCCCAGAATGCCTTTCAATTGGCTGTTTCTGCGATGTCATGAACATCAAAATAACTCTTAAGGTGAATTCTTGAGTGTGAGGGCCCAGCCCAGGTCTGTAGTTTGCAGAGACATAGAAAAAAGTGGACACTGTAATATTCAAAAAAGATTAACATACTAGGTGTAACATATTGCTGGAAATTTCATTTCTCCGAAGAGCTGGCAGGCATGGACTACTGAGCAAACTACAGATCAAACAGATTTACAAAAATGATGTTAAGGAACAAACCGAGGTTTGTGTGCTAGGAGGTGTCCAGTGTACCCTTCAGGCAGGCTCCTCATCTTTTCTGTGATGTTATGCATCTGATTGGCAGAGAACACACAGGGACTGTGCTTTGCCTATGACGATTACCAATGAGTTTTGGATAAAGTTCAAGGGCATATATATCTAATCAACTAGTAATTTCCTGATGAATAAGAACTACACTTTACACAAAATACTTTATGAGCAGCTGTTTTCATCAAAAAAAAAAAACCAATAGTCAGTTTCACAGTTGAAAAAGTTACACATTAAAATATTTTACAATCCATTATATATTCACCAGGTTCCCATTTCCTGATGGGCAGTAATATAAAGCAGAATAGAAGGGACAACCTCAAATCTGATGACTCTGACACCAAGTTTTACAGAGGACATGAAGAACCACAAAGTCTCAGGTTCTATCATAAAATAGCAACCAGATTCCATTCTTCTTTTAAAAAATCTAATTAGAAACATCTTTAAAAACAAACAGAAAGCAAACAAACGAACAAATCAAACTCCACAGTAAGATGAACAGATTTCAAATTAACAGCAGTCTAAAAATCTTCGAACTAAAGGTTTTGTACAGCTGAAAATATGGTAAAAAGTTAAAGCATGATTTAAGAGTTACTTCTTGCTACAGTGTACTTAGTTTCTTTCTTTAGATTTGCTTTCTTTCCTTCCAGAAATAATTACTGATGAAACAACCTCAAGTGACTTAGTGAAATTATGGAGCCAAAGTCAAAATTTATTCACTGTTCAATGACAAAGATGGTCATTGACAGAGGTGACCGGTCCACAGGTCCTTCTGATGTCGAAGCACCTGGGAGTGGCACATTATTGCTCTCTGGAACGGATTTTGATCACCCCAGCTTCAATTCAAGTTTTGGTCTTTATCTTTTTTAATACAACCTATTCTCCTTTCTTTCCTTATACCCTTTATAGAATATAGATGTTCTCTCAAATACCATTAATGTGGTTGTAAATAGCAAAATAAGCTATGTGGTTGTGTTTTAATTGTGCAGAGACCCTGGAAGGTGGTACTGGGTAACTATTAGAACTAATGCAAAAAAAAAAAAAAAAAGCAAAAACTAGCAATTTTGTGCAAGGAGGCTCGCGGCTTTTTTTTTTTTTTTTTTGGCACTCGGAAAAACAGTTCTTTGTAATTCTTCAGTTTCCACCATCAAAGTTGTAGATTTGTACCATGTCACTGAGTTTGACTGTAATAATCCCTGATATAGAAAAGAATGGGATGTTAGTACCTAGCAACTGCATATCTAAGTAACACAAAGTGTTAAATGCCAAGTTTAAATAAGTTAGGAAGTTTCCTATCTGCAAAAGAATCTAACTGGTTTTCTGCTTAAAACAGTTTAAATTCTGATTAACTATTCCAAGACAGTTTACAGAACTATGTTCCCCTAATCTTCAGGTTTTTCTTGTTGGCAATAATATATACATGCTTTAGTGAAGTACCTAAATCTTCAATAATTATGCCCTTTAAGGGTTCTAAAATAGCCAGATATTAAGAGTGTTTTTATTAGAGTCCCCTGTTTACTATTCAAAATGTCTACTACAGGTGTCTGACCTCAGAGCCGAGCGTGGCAAAGGGATGCTGTTTTTCTAGAGTGTACAGTGTGCGCTCTTCATAAAGAGGCTCCCCAGTAACTCGCCTAAGCTAGGAACTGTCAGTAAATTATTGCACAGTTTTTTCTTTTTTTTCTTTTTATTTATTCTTTTTTCTGCTTTTTTTTTTTTTTTTTTTTGCGTGGCATCTGAACATTTGCTAAAGCTATTTTCTAGGACATGAATCATTCAAACACTGAGTAGAAATCTAGAGTGACCACTAACATTAGCCCTACATTTTGGATGGATGCTTTTTAGAATGCTCAAAAATGCATTCTGTGCTTGAATGGGATGTAATGAAGTTGGAGTGAGACCTGACCACCTTGAAATGGGACATGATAGTAAAATGGGTTACTGTCCTTACTGTTATCATTGAGATATGGATACATAGCTTACGAAGGTAAAAAAATTCATGGTTTCTAGTCTCTCATAATATAAAAAGTCGTTCATGACCAGACCTCCGTAGAGGGGCTTACAAGTCAGGCTGATAGTCTACTTTGTACTCGTTTAGTAACTGGTTTCTATGATTGGGCCGTTCTCACTACAGATGGATGGACGATGAGGGCATCGTGTGAAAACGGACAGAGTGGAAGGGAACATGTGCAGTTCAACCTGTTCCTTAGGGAGTCATACAGGGGAGCTGGATAAATGGATAGTGCCTGAGCCTCATCTATAGACCAAGAGAAAAGCTAACCATGCTGTTACCAATGATAAAAAATTTGGGGTGCAAAACAATGCATGACTATGGGACAGATTATGTAAATAAAGAATATATATTAATGATAGTTTCTATAATATAAATAGCCTTTAATAAAAAAAAATAATCTTTTTAATAACATTAATACTCACTTCTATTTTCTGGAAAACATGCATGAAAAAAAAGGATTCAGTTCAATTGCAAAAGGAGAAACAATCAGCTTAAAGTGAATACTGTACAGGTCAGAAACAGGAGCCCCTGCGTCCCTCCTCTATGGTCACTGCTCTACTTGATACGAGCCCAGAATTTCCCTAGGAAATAAGTCAGATCCTTGTAAATACTGTCCAGAAAAACCCAACAAAAAACAAAACTCAACAAAAACACATCTGTCTGCAGGTAATCACTTGTGACTGCTTTCAGAAGCACAGGTGAGAGACCCCAAGTCCATCAAAGGGTTGTTTGTTCATAGCAAAGACCGAGTCCCTTCCCAAGTGTTGTTC